TGAAAAGCCGGAGTGCGGGGCCCAAAAGACAAAGAAGCGAGCGGCGTTCTCGGTACCGCCGATTTGCGGATCCGACCTTCCATTAGCGAAATAGTATTTTCTTCTTCGATCGCGGCGCGGGTCGCCCGGTCAGTTACCACTTTTGACCCGGCTGGTACCGTCCGCACGCGCTCATCTATTTATCTCGCGCGACCCCCGTTTAAATGTCAGACGCGAAAACGCAACACCGGATATAATCCGTCCTTGACGACACGACGGCAAGTTACAGCCGCGCGATCTCTTTCAACGCGTCGGCGGTTATTATTTTACAGCGGTCGTCGCCACCCCCGGGAGTGTAATGACTTCTCGAGAACTCGAAACTGTACGTCACCGTCGACCCACCGTCGACCCACCGTCAACGCAGAAGGCGTGGGTTTTGCGACGTGGATGTTACAAACAAGACCTTGAGAATTAGCGTGGCTAATCGGCGGATGAACAATTAAAGATCTTTTTTTTTTTTAATTGAATAATCTTCGACATTGCAAGAAGTCCAAAGATAAGGAAAAAGATCGTGAAATCTTCATCCTTTATCTTCAAATCTCCAACGAATTTTTCTACCTCTGCACATACATGTCACGTTTATTGTCAAGGAAAGAAAAAAAAGAACCGAAAGGTTTCTTCGATTTGTTCCATTTTCGATCATATCTCGGAGAATATTGAGAATATTATACATGTCATATACTATATGTGTATATTATACATATTATGTGTGTATATTGCGCACCGATTTTCGTTTATACATTGTCACGAACAAACGTTGGTTAAACTGTCGTTGTGTATATGCACTTTTCAAAAAATATATTAAATTAAATTTGATAGAATCCAGAATTTGATTCTGCGCGTATTATCGCGCCACGATAATAATTATTTTCTTTAAATACCGTTATGCAAGTTTCATTACTTTAAACGGCAATTGACAGACAGATAACTTTTAATTAGTATAATCCATTCGCATTTCCCTTTGTTAATTTATGCTTATAACAGTAATAATAACTGCAATAATATCAATTGTCAATGTGTGTAATAACGTTAATATAAAGCCGGGCAGGAGTACTATTCAAATTCAAAGGGTTAATTAAATGCTGTTATGGAGTTCGGGAACAAGAGAGGTGTTCGCATTAACATTGTCTTAATAATCACATGTAACGTTGTATACGTGTAAATCTACAGAGATATTTCATACAATCGCGGGATATCGTCCAAATTTCAAGATACTACAAATCACCGAGCACGTTTGTGTTCTGCTTTCGCGTGACGAGCGACCCCGAAATCTGTGCCAACGCGTTCCACCACAGTGGAAATCCTCTGATTTACAACCGATTTTTTCTTGATAAAGATTGTCCATCAGCGATCTTCTGCCCGTACACGATACTTTGACACTCAAAACGAAACGATTTCGTGTAACTGAATTTTATATTAAGATTATTTCCTCAAGTAAAGTCCAAATTGAAATTAAATTGACAGAAAAGGAATTGTTTCGTCTTCTAACAGCAATTCGATCCGCGGAAAAGAAGCAGCTTTCACAGCTAAAAACTGATTCCCACAGGTAATAATTAGCTGTTCATATAATACAACTGAAATTTAATTAACTTTGCCCATTCTTTTTGTTGTAATTTTTAGTTCTGGCAACTAAATTTTAGTTGTATTATATGAATACCCAGTTTTTTTCCATGCGTCAATCCATTCATTATGACACACCTATGATCGTATTAATATATTCTAGTGTATAAAAAAAATATATATATATTGAAAGAATAATACGCTACATCAGAAAAATATGGTTGACGCACTAATCTCCCTGTTCTCTTAGCCGTTTGTGTGCCAGGAACGCGTTCTTCGTTTTAAGCCAGCTCCAGAGAATGTGGGGACTGAATCGCCAACGTCGTCCGATGCGACACTGGCTATGTCATCTGTATGAATGTTTTAATTACGCTTCTTTCCTTTGCATCGAGTTTTATATTGACCCACCCCGCTGGCCTACATTTGCCACATCGTCTGGAGCCGGCTTTTCGTACGAAAAATGCCACCGGGCGCTTCCCTTGTTCTACACTGGGAGATTTCCAACGATCTCTCTCATCTTCTGTCTCATGATTCGAGACGTCGTTACGTAATTGCCATTCAATATTTTCGAGAATGCTCGTCTCGCTCCTCTCGAAAGTCCGTCCGTAGTGCGTCAATAATAGAACCGAACCGCCTTGCGTGACACTTTCGTCGCACATTCTCGCGATTCCCTTTCCCGGCACGCAAACAGTTAAAAGAGTCGCACGCTGACATTGCGGCATGCGCGAAAGAGCGCTTTTAAATTCCGCTCACCTAACTCCACTTAGGCCGGCAGGGGTGCTCGAAGCCTCTCATGTCATGTCGCGACGGATGTCGTGGATGAAGGTCGACGTGGGTTCGCTCGTACGTTCGTGAGTTCACATGGTGCCTGCAGAATCGCGAAAGACTTCCGGATAGTTTGAGGCACCGTCCGGGCAAGAGTTCGCGGCACTCGATGTTCAAACACACACTCGCACGACCTCGGGTCGGGCTCAGTTTTGCATCATTCGGACACCGTCGCGCAGATACCGTACGACGAATCGATGCGGTGCCGATCGAGAACAGCCGCGCAATCAGTACGACGAGTGCGACGAATCGGAAAGTTTCGCGCCGACGACGATTTTCCCTTCACATCTTGATCGGTCCCGGCATACCTTCGCCGCCGTTCAGTGTAACGATCGCTCGCGTCGTCGCTCACGCACAACCGGTCGCAGCATTCAGTCGCGGCTCTCTCTCTCTCTCTCTGGTTCCCGTCACATCCTTCGCGACTTAATTCACGCCAAAGTCTCGACGACGCGGTTATTATTCGCGCACTCTGTTCGTCGATCTCTCACGATCGCTTCACTCCCGCAATTACGTCGTTCGGCGTGTGCACGCACTCGAACGTGACGTGGAACGCGCGCCTCTTGCACTTCCAGAGGCACCCCGATCCCAATCGCCGATTTTGTCCCGCGACAGAGAAACATCCACTTCGAAACCGTGCGCGCCGAGGATCGGGCGGTGACTGAAAGCGTCGCGCGGTCTCGCGCCCTGTAGTTCTATCTTCCTCTATCCGGCTCTCTCTCTCTCTCTCTTTCTTTCTCTCGCTCGCTCGCTCGCTTTCGCCCTCTCACCCACCCGTCCTCATACCCTCTCGTCTTCTCGCTCTCTCACACACACTCTCTCTCTCTCTCTCTCTCTTCTTCACCCCTCCCCACCCTCGCTCATGCTCTGCCTCACTCTTGCGAGATTCCGCTCTCTTCATGGTACACGTCTCTCTCGTTCGCACCGGCAGGATAAGGAGGAACGTTCCTCCTCTCGCAGCTTCCCTCTGTCCGCTATTTCACCCCCGCGTGTTCAACCCTTTTCACTTCCTCTCTTTCTCTCTCTCTCTCTCTCTCTCTTGCTCTCGCTTCGTCCATCGCATCCCTCTTTCTCTCGTCTATCCCTTTTTCTCTTTTGCTCGCTCTTTTCTTCCTCATTTATCGTCCTCGTCAGCCCCGTACGCACCGTCCACTCCCTTTCATCTCGCGAAATAATTCCGTCCAAGTCCTAGGTCTCTCCCCCTTGCTGGCGCGCACGGTATCTCGCACGCACGTATCCACCCTCTCGCGCGACCCCGTCTCACCCGTTCGCGTTCGGTGCACGCGCGAGCATCCGACGCAGGGTGCCACGCCTCTACCCCTTCTGTGTATACGTGCCATTGATACGAGGGAGAAACTTAGCCTAGGCCCGAGCTTCCGCGCGTCGCTCCGACTCTTTTCGCGTCTCACGAAAGCTCTCAGCGAGCTGCGCTCTGATTCTGCACGGGCGATGCCGCCGATTTAACTCATAAGCGCGCGTGAAATCTTCCGCAGGCGCGCGCGCGAAACTTGGTTTTCGCAATCGTATTCATGGCTATAGAGCATCGGCAAGAGTTGACACCCGAAAGTTGAAGATTTCAGGTTAAAGGCTGAGAAGCGAGGACCCAGAGACGAAGGCTGAGGTTTGAGGGTCAAGAGTCGGGAGTTTACAGTTCGAAGTTTAGAACCTACGGTTGAGGAACTGGGAATTCAGCATTTGTATACCCGCGCAATTACAATCGTGATTATTGTACCTGAATTCACAGATCGACGAATGGTTGTCGGTCGGTTGCAATTACACGTTCTAGTTCTCTCCAATACTTTTACGCATCTTCACACTCTTCGGATGTTCTTCCCTTCGATCTTGGTGTGATTTGTAAACACAGGTCTCTTGGTCGTGCGATTTTCACGACTATTCAGCATCTCGCGCATTTCGCTGTTTATCCAGATTTACGTTTAATTTGAGGTGAAGCGGATTACGCTTTTTCGATTTCCGCGGTCTCTTATGCACTCACACATTCGAGGGACTCGCCGTGTCTGTGAATACGTAACAAACACGAATAAATGTTGAAATATTTGGAGCACTCCGCCGTTGAAATTATATTTTGGCGTGCATTAAATCCGGTATAAATGAATAAAGATCAATGCGCAAGCATGTAGCTTTGGGGAATATTATTTGGCAAAGTAATATTAAATGTAACTGCCATTTGAATGCAAACAGACGCCAGACTTGTAATATTGTCGTACTCATCGATTATATGTTTGAAATAAAATACAATTGCAAGAAAATAGTGTGTATTGCGAACCATATCGATATGTGTATATTGAAAATCCAAATGTGTTATTTTTACACGTATAAACGTTTAAAAATTACATATTTGACTAAAGCTCTTTTTACATATTTCTTATCATTTTAGGTTACGTTATTTAAAATCATTTTAGGTTACGTTATTTAAAAGATTTAATTGTGTTAAGTGACGTGATATAAAACCGCAAGAAATATGCAAGAAAAGCCTCAGCTAAAATAACACGCTTGGATTTGCAGTATACAATCTTCCCTTAGATTATTCTCGACCTAATTTTCATGTCAAATTATATCAGTGTTGCAGTTCCATGGAAAAGTACCCTGTCGGGCGACGCCAATGCCTACGATACGCCATCCGCTTGAATGCAGGAAAGTGTATAAATCAGAAGCGGACGTCTGCGTAGGGCGAAGCCGCGTGCCAACTACGGCCTACTGCGAGCGATGACGTAACACAGCCCTTCGAGGGACGCGACTGCAGCTGAGCAACATCTCAATGGTGCAACCTCGAGTTGAGGTAGGTCAGTGCGCGGGTGAGATACGTTGGGGTCGTAATGGAGCGCGTTCAGTCGGCTTTCCATCCTTTTTGTCTCAAATCGCGCGCAATCGCAAGATCCATAACGGGTTCGGGTTCTCGTACTTTGCTCGAGATTCTCGTCACATTCGAGCGTTTATTTTCATGAGCGATAGCATACTTTGATCGACACATCGGCATTTTAATGATAATCAATATTAGGATAAAATTAATTTGGCCAAGTTAAAAGTTAAGTTCATTCAAAATCAACCAAGTTACGTTAAAAGTTACTAATTTTTTAATTGGACTTTTAAATTTTAACTAATTATTATCCAGCCTTAATAATAATGCAGATAAAACAATGTGTGTGACTGCAGAATTCTTTAATTGGAAAAATGAAAAAGAATTTAGGAATCATTTTAATTTAGTTTTTTTTCGATATTATTAATCAGTATTATACGATGTTTTCATCTTGCCATGTTTGCACGACCGCCGCGCTTTTTCCGTTAGCGTTTAAACAAATAATGTGTAAACAGTATTAAAGAGAGATCACCCGTATCGCAAATCTCCCGTTATCAAATGAAACTTGCTTCTTCCTTCTATTTTTAAAAAATTTCCCTAACAAGATTAAAACGTCACATTAATAACACCTCCGATGTTTTTGTAAATTTTGCGCTTCACCGCAAATAGTAAATTTGAGCGTCAATATTCCAAGGCAGTAGCACACGTGGTGCTGTGGAGCAAGTAGTAAAAGCAGAGATTCGCCGGACGTACTGATCGATCGCGTTACACGTTGCGCGTAAAACCGGCACACGGAATATAAGCCGGCACATTTTATCGTTTTGACAAAAAGTTATCGAGGACAATTCCGGTTTGACTCTTATTTCCTCATTACGCAACATTAATAATCCATGTGTGTAAATTACAATCGAAAAATCCGAGCTAATCATTATCAACCTCGTAGATTATTGCCGACATAAAGTTCGTATCATTTATCGCGCCAAGTGACCAGCCACGTTGCACTTTCTTTAACGTTTCGTTCGACAACGTGAACAAGGCGGGTACAATCACGCACACTTTAACTTCTGCCTCCGCGTGTACAGCGCGCTATCAAGTACCGGTATTGGTATCATAGCTGGGACACAGGGTTTGTCGCATCCACTGTGTCCCTCTATCGGACGAGCATGCTCCTCGAGGACGTTATAATTACGACTATTTTGGAAATCCGTGTCGAGATAACCGAGCGGACTTGCCGCAACAAGGTTGCGCTCACGCGAAACCGCGCTTGTGTACCTCGAAGTATACCTCGCTTATCTCTCGTTCCAACTATCAATGCTATCATTACATGCATGTACAAAATGTTGTGTTACACGAATCCCTTGATATGGAACAATAATAATACCGCTCTATATAATATTATACTACGCGCCCCCGTGTCAACATCATCGCGATAACGTAACCGCCGGTATAATTCATTTATTGTTTATTCATATTTGTTTATATGTATCGTATAATCTATTTATTAAACATAATTTGTCAAATAAATACTTGGCAAAACATCGCATTATTACAATATACTTAATTCGGAATCGCGTGTATTTCCTGCTGATTTATGCTGATAAATTCGTCTCTTCTAAAATGGTTACTATTATAGCCGGTAAATAAAACGCCAGGCTCTATTATTTACCGTAAGCATCTCTCGTGTAACATGCCTCGTATAATTTAGAATTTATCGTCCTCCCGCGTGATTCCACGCATTCCATGGGCCAACATAGTTGATGTTGCGAAGTTAATCTTCCAATATGATCGCACGCCTGAAATTTATTCGTAGAGCATCGAATCGATATTCCACCTCGTGCCCGATTTACGTCTTATCGTTAATATTCCTCCGATTTCTATATCGTTTCTTACCAATTATTTATACCGGCAATTTTCTTCGGCCACAATTCTTTCGTTCGTACCGTGGTCGAATATCAAAATCCCCATGGCAAATTCATGCACGAGAAGTTCTTTCTCCGTAACGTCGCCATCGTGATACTCTCATGCGACATCAACTCACGATATGCCGGCCGACAAAGACAAAACACGAAGCTCCGAGTATCGAACTTCTCCTCGGAAGGATGAAACTTTCGAGTGGTCTTTCGGTCGAGGGTCCCCCATCGCAGTTTCCCTTCCGCGAACGCGACTCTCGAGTGGACATTTGGGTGGGAATCACCCTCGATCCGGTGTTCGCGCCACGAGCTTTCCTATTCTGAGGCCTGAAGGTAGTTGATCCGTAGAATGCGAGATTTCCAGCGGCGATATTAAGGGACCTCTACATAAATTTATTATTTACTGCGAAAAAATACTTTCTTATACTTTAACTATTTAAGTAATAAATGCTAACTTTAAGCGAAATTAAGATTAAACAATATGCATACAATATTACAAACACGGAGATATTTATTATTTATTTTTCTTATTAATACTTTATTTATATACGTCAGTTGAGTTAACAGAAATGTATGCAAAATAACAGAGAAAAGGTGATATTTAAATATGTGTACGTGTACATATATCACAGACATTGGTATGATTTATAAATTTCTTACGGCTATATTTTCAAAACAAAAATGGTCAATAATTCTAAAATTTTTGTATAATATCTATATATTAATCCTTAGTATCACAATGGTTTTTCATTAAAATTCTAAATATAGTTTAGAAGAAATCAGAAGTAGAAATTAAAAATAGGATATTAACATTAGAACCACGGCAAGTTGTTCCCTTCTAGAATCGAGGATAGATTATTTTTGACTTACTTCTTTTTTTTCATAATTATCCGTGGACTTTCTTGAACTGTTTGATACTGTTTAATTGCTTTATGATAAAGAAGGTTTCCTAGTGGTGAAAATCAAAGAAATAGGAAAAAGAGGAACACTTTGCGTAACTGCGTGCGACTAATAGGAGAAGAAAAAATCATTTTCCCACCGTTTGCGAACTGCGATTTGCGCATTGCGACCTATACGACCTATAAACGGGCCTTTAGAGCGGGAACACGCATACCGGCGAGCCGGTGCGCGCTCGGCCTATGCGTTTCGCGATTAACGCTTCGTAGATCGCGCGAACCGAGCGCGAGCGTCTCGCGTCGCGACTATGCAAAGTATTTTCAATTTCCACGTACGAACACGCGGCCACGAGCCGCGGTCGTATGCGCCTCTTTTCATGCCTACTTTCTTCCTGCGCCGCGGCGCGACACCGAACAAAGAGAGAGAGAGAGAGAGAGAGAGGTTTTCCGGATCGGCGCACTCCCGTTTGCGTTCTACCGTGACGCTTTATTACGCCGCAGACACCGTGAAGAATAAATGCCTGGCGTGCCGTCGCTCGCACACCGCGCGACCGACGCTGCGACGCGTCTCCTCTATAGCGCGTATCATCCGGGGGTGGCCGGAAATTGGCGCGTTCTGTCTCGCGATGAGTATCTCGGGGTGAATTTACGCCTTCGCCGTTGAAAGTTCGTGAAGGCGCGCTACGACGGCGCGCGTAATCGCGTAAGGAAATTATTCAAACGCGAACGCATTGTAAGCGCGACCGTCTAATCACCGGTTGCGATTACGAGGATTAATGTCGCAACATCGTGCGCGCGCGCGCTCTGCGAATGTGCCCGCGATTAGTTATTGCTTCCAATTATCAGTCTGATGATCACCGTATGTGTCGATGCCCCTCTGTGGCGATTGTCGAAAATTAGTCGATGAATCAATCGATATTTGTTACTTCCGCTGCGGTAAAAACGTCGATCGCCGAGCATATCCTCGTATCCGAACGGAAACTTACTGTTACTGAAACTTACGTAATTGACTTGAAATCCTTCCATTTCTGTTTCTGTTGTAATATTAACTTTTCAACTCGGCCATTTGTGTCGGCTCGTGTTATGACAAAATTGCATTATCCGATAGCTGTCGGATCTTACGGCTTTATTGAAATCTATAAAATGCCAAATAAGTAATTTATGACCTTTACCAAAGATATAGATTAGATTTTGGGAAGGGGATATATTTTATATATTTAATATTTTCAGGATTTTAATTATAAATTATTCGGGAGATATTCCTCGGCGTGTAACGATCTGTTTCTTTTTTCCGTCGGCGTGATATCCGTAGAAATAACAAAAGCGATCGCGACGAGTCGTCGAACGACGACGTTATTAATAGTGATCCGAGTTATCTACTGCGCGTAACGCGATTATTCTTCTTTCGTAGTCGCTTCCTCATATAGTGCGCAAGCGTACACGTATACGTACAGTTGAGCGGCCGCATAACGGGGTACCCAAGCGCGAGGCATTCTAGAGCGGCGAGGGACAATGGACAATTAATGCACGCCATTCGCTGGGTACATTCCATGAACTCTGAATTCTCGCGGTAGTCTCCGTCCGCGTTATTCCAAAAGTTGCACAAAGGCACGGCGAAACGCGTTTCGCTCAGCCGAGAACGCACACGCGCCTTGTGTGCATCTCCAGCAATTTTCTTTGATTTTCATCTCACCGACCGGTACAACCGATCGTTCCAGCACAATCGAAATTCAAATCGCGGAAGCGGAATTCACTCACTCATTCTCTCTCTTTCTCTCTCTCTCTCTCTCTCTCTCTCTCTATTAACACGTTAACCTCTCAGCGAATTTCTACATATCTCATCATTTATCACATAGCAATTTTTGTAATTATAAGCACGTGCGATGATAAAATAATTAATTTAATTAAATTAAATTTGTTAAATTAAATCGTGTTATCAGGGTGATTTATATATCTCATTGAGGGAAATCATTAATGATAACGCCACTAAAAATCATCGGTTAAGGGTTGCCAGTGACTTTTACTTCAGTTAACGCTTGAAAATGTTTATTTGTCCTGAAATAATTCGTAATAATAAATTGCGTAAAAGAACTAAGTTAATTAAGTTAATAAAATTATTAAACAATTAGTTGTCTAGAAAGATTTAATATCGAAATCTGCCAATCTGCTCTCTTAAGTCGAAAATGTCACTGATTGAATCAGTAATACAGTATTATACTAATAATCAGTGAATATTCGCTAATTTTGAGTAGAAACACTTCCGCTTAGTTCTTTTGTCTTATTTCACTAATTTTGGTCAGTGAAAGATTCACTGGCAAATCGCTGTTACGCGCCCTGTAGCAGAAATATACATATACATATACGTGTTCAAGCATATATGTCGTATTTGACGTAGTTTATAAAATAGTAGACTCAAGAACTTCAAAAGATCCCGAATTCGAGTCCCATCAGCATGAGCATATTTTTCAAATATAAGTTAAATTAATTAAACATAATTAGAAATATTTCAAGTAAAATTATTGGCAACATCTTAAGAATGATTAAGATATTAAGAAAGAAATAATAAGTAATATCTTGTTTCACTGTTATTGCAGTCAGGTTCCCCTGATGGAAACAGTCGCTGCTATTAACAGATTTTTTTCAGCGAAATTTTATTAATTTGCAATGCTATGTTTATAACTGTGACTATTAGCTGTCTCTCAATAATTATGCACTGATTGCAATTTAGAGATTGCCCCGGTTTCTTTTATTTCTGAAAAAGTGCTCGGCGAAAATGTTTTAATCGGATTTCATTTAATTTTAAGTGATTTATTTCATTTAATTTTAAGTAATTCGAGAGTGTGCTTTATACGTAGGAGAATTGTCTCGTTTTTTTTCTCTCATTTTAGGTGTGAAATTGGCTCTCTAAAATAAGACGCCATTTGACGTAAAAAGAGCAATAATACGTACGTATCATTGCCCTCGCATACTTCTAACTTTAGTACGTACTAGAATAAAAAAAAATCTCCTTTCGAGTGAAATGAAACTACTATTCCTGAAATATCAACGTCCAACGTTCATATTACACGATTCGACAATACTAAGTGGAAAGTGAGTAATATAACGGGACCGTGATTTTTCAACTCGCGCTAGTTCGATGCACGCATTCCCATTTCTCGATGCGTTTCCCGGCGTGAAGATATCCCGACGCGAGGCGACGATTAATACGCACCATTTGCCAGCCTCGAATTTCCGCGGAGGTACAAGCTTGCCCCCGTTCGCGATAAAAGACGATTCCGCCTGCGACACCACGAAAATCTTTCTCTTAATTACTCGTTCTTTAAAGTCGAGTCTACTCTCGCCAGGAAAGAGAGAGAGAGAGAGAGAGAGAGCTCACCGCAAGCGTCAGAGAGTACAAACAAACATAACGAAAATTCCACAGTAGGAGAGACAAAGAAGTAATGGAAACGTCTCGGGAACTTCTTCACAAGAATTGTGTAGCAACCGTTTCTTGAGAAAACGAAAAACCATCTCGTTATTCTTTGCGTGCACGCAACACGAAATCACGCGCACGTGTACCGTACTATAAGGAAACCGCCGAACAAATGAGGCGGAATAAATAAATAAAGAATAAGATGAAAACTCTTATTATTATAACAAAATAACGACTGCTATAATTACTGTATATATATATATATATATAATTCCATGAGAGAGAAAGAGAGAGAAGAAGAGGAGAGAGGATGGAAGCGGAGGGTGCGGGGAAGACTGGCTGCGCTTCCGCGTCGCTAAAGTAAATCCGCCGTTAAAGTCCCGCCTTAAAACCGCGGTTTAAAATCACGTTAGCCCTCCTTCCCTTGTAGCGTAGGAGTCGGCGACGTGCACGTGTAACGACTAAACTGACGGGAAACCGCATAGTAAGTAGCGGCTCGACCGCACGTGTCCAGTCTCGTAGGCACCGAGCACAGAGCTCCGTCGGTGTTCCAACTTCGTTGGAGCGTCGTCAAAAATTTACATAATCGTATAAAATCTATCCGGCGAGAAGTGCGCATGTGCTTGCGTGTGTATGTATGACTGTGCGTGTGCAGGTTGTGTGCTCGCGCCTGTTTATCCGGGAAAGCGCCAACTCGCCGATATCCGCCGTCGGCATCGACGTCCTTCGATCCGTCCGAGACTCCCGTGTTAACTTATACATCGACTGTCGCGATTCGACCGCCGGCTTGCCGCCAGCTCGTGGCCAACTTGATGAAATAGAGACGCGATTATTTGGGCCACAGCTCACTAATTGGCAAAGTTCCGCGAGTACACGCCTTGTCCTTGCCTCAGACGCAGGCATTTCATTGTACAGAGAAGAGCGTGCCCCCGCAGACCCTTCGCCGCGACGCCTTTTGACGCCGGGTCTTATGAGAAATTCTCGGCTTCCGGAGGCACGACGTTATCATTAACGTAACTCGGGCGATTATAGACGCGCCCGCTTAAATCGTGGAAGCCTTAATCAGCCTGGTCGTTGCGACCGAGCGAGGCCGCTGAGGGCTTATATCCTCGGTTCGCGATTGCACGTTAATTTTGTATTCTTAGGATTAATGGTGCACTTTCGCGCCGGATGTAAATTTAGATATCAGGCGATCAATACGCGATGTAACGCGAGTCGCCCGATTTGAGGAATAGATAAGAATATGCTGTGAGCGCAAGCGCGCGTTTTGTTTAACGGGTCGCATTGTCCCCTTTGCGGAAGAACGACTTCAGAGGGACGGAAAACACGCGGTATGTGACGAAACGTTTTATTTCGCCGCTGCGTAATTAGCCATTTTGTGTAAACGAGTTCTTTTAATCGGGACGCCAAATCCAGAGATTCGCGTCGCATTAGTGCGTCTTCAAAGCGCGGTTTTTTAACGTGTACGTTCCCCAACGAAAAAAGCGTCGCTACGGGAATAACAATAGCAACGACGACGACGACGAACTGCCTGTGGCATTTTAATTTAAGGACGTGTCGTTGTACTATCGTAGAGATCCGCGCAGCGTTCGTAAGATGACTTACTATCGAACACGCGCAATCTAAAGACTCGGCGCGCAATTTTTTGCACGTCGCGATATGCGAATCCAATTTCCCTCCGACTATCGCAGAGCGGCTTTATCGAATTAAAGCAGATCGAACGCCGCTGCAGCTGCATCACCGGACCGTTAATTTCCATTCATTGCGCCATAACGATGTAAAAAGGCAGCGAGAGACAAGTAGCGTTCACCGATATCGTAGAATTGCGATAATTTCCGAAAGTCATTTCCGCGTTTCAGATATTTTTTTTTTTATTTGGCAATTTATACAGTTATTAAAACTTCCATATGCTCGTGTTTTATTTTTCATCGCACAATTTGCAACACATCTCTGCATTTTTGTACGTCCCATTTATTCAGATCAATAAAATTTGTTTTTATTTATTTATTTACTTAGATCTCACACATAACAGTACAATTCTGTTATGTTTATCGTGTCGCATCGCGCACTTCTGCATTGAACAAACGACAGTTATTATTTTTAAGGTAGTTGTGGCATAAAATGAGTTCTTTTAAGAATTCATTTGAAACTTGCATTATATATACGTTTAAATATGACATAATTATTAGCGCAATTAGAGAACGATCGACCATTCGAAAGCTGATATATTCGCAACTAAAGATGACACTTTTTATTCCTTGAGGCTAATGCCCTATTTTTAACTTCTATTTTTAATCTCTTTCAAACCACATTTATTGTACAAAAATGTCAGAATTACTGACAATTTTGTTTTAAAAATATGGCCATGGGCAATTTATAATTTATAATGATATCCATGATACATATATATATATATATATATCGATAAAAAAGAATCCATATATTTATAGCGAATGTAGGTTATTCATTCTGAAGCAAGGCAGTTCTGTCGGTTGTTCAGGCTTCAGAATGCAAAGCCGAGAGAATAGATTTCACACACGCACGTGAGAATTCACAAAATTCATCCGTATTGTTAATTTAATTTACCTGCCATCGATATATCCGCGTAACGTTCCTTCTCGCATTCGCCGGACAATTGTCTCCAAAACTTCGCCCGCTCTTTGAAATTCGGTGTAGCACGCGCAATACAATTTTCCAAATCGCAACCTCTTACGTGAAAATAACAGGTATAACATGGACGTTGCCTGCCGTCGACGAGGACGTTGCACGCGCACTCCTGCGTGTAGATCTACGGGGAACGTGTACATAGGGGAGACACGTGTCTGGTGTATGAACGAGGAAACTCTTCAACGCGCAACCGCCTGCCTAGCTCGCGGGAAGAAGAGCCGCGACATATTTTCGCAAAGCCGTCTCTCCTCTCACAGTTAGTACGTACTTTGCATTTATAACGTCTGCACACCGGAATCGCGTCCACCTTAATATAATAAGAAGTACGTGCCTCCGTAGAATTCCCCGGATAATTAAGACACTCGTGCGACTTCCGCCGTCCTTGTGGTAACTGCTTCTCGCGTGTGTACCGGGTGAAGCAGAAGTTACGCCCCTCGAGCGTCTGTGGCCGTCGTATTAATAGTTGTTACTTGAAACTTGAATTTCTCACGCGACACACTTGGATTTCAATTTCAATTTAGAGTTAAATTTGAGCTTTTTTTTATTTATATGCGCAATAATTTTCTGCGCAGACGCTCGACGATTATCATGCAATAACATCGTAACGTCGTGTATCGTATGATTCCATATCGAAAAATTCAGATCTAACTCTAACGTTAGATCTGAATATCTCACCTGAGGCAAGTTTCACGGCTATTGATATAAATCTAGGGGATATAAATCTAGGGAATTGATCGCGCACAAGCAACGTCGCTTCGGTGATCATGCATCGACGAACCTACGACGATCGGAGTCGACGTTCGATTTTTTTCATTAAAAGTGCCGGGGGGAAATTCATTGACGAGCCGTGCAAAGGCTCATTGTATGGAGGTTTTCGACACACCCGGTAGCCGACGTATGTCCCTCCACGTGCGCGACATATATCGCGTGAGCTCTTTCGCCGGACGCCTCCCGGCTAGCGAAATCCGGCATTTTTGCAAGCTGTATTCGTACGCTCCGTGAGAGCGCGCGAGCGCGCAAGCGTTACCGGCTCGAAATGAATAATTACTGGCACAGAGCTAAAAGGCGGAAAGGACACGATTCGTTAAAGGAATTATCGTACGTTTTAATATTTCATTCGCCTATTTCCCCGGCCTGCCCCCCTTCTCGCTCGCGTTTTTTACTTATATTTGCCCCCGTCATTTTCTTTTGTTCCCCCAGCTGTGTTTTTAACAGCGAGAGCGTTCCCCCTTTCATCGAGATAATTCCTTCCGAAATTACTTCACGGTTTTTGATGTTGAGATATTTACGCTCTCAGCGCGCGGAGATTAAGAACTCCAAGATTGATTCGGCGAAGGTTACCGTCGCGGCCGCCGGCCTTTCAGACCGGGTGCGCTGGGTTTTCTCGTTTATTTTCAGAAAAATTGCAATTTTCGCAGGCTACGCTTCCGCAAAGAGATTTCATGGCTTTGTGGCTTCGGCTATTTTGAGATTTTGCGACGGAGAGCTCGTACGAACCGATTGATGCGCTCGATAATCGTCGTCGGCGAATCGTTTTTGACGCATAGTGAGAGATTCCGTTTTGCTTATCGATAAGCTCGGGCAGGAGCAACCCCGTAACCTAACGATTGATTAAGGATGTCCGCTCGAAAGGCTACTTATGGCTGACTGTCCGCACGTCGGTGCTGTAATCACTGACGAAAGTACGCCGTGTCGACGTCGGTATTCATAAAGGAGCGCGCGTGTCATGTCGCTTTCCTGTTAATCACGAGCGTGTCTCGGGACGTTAATCATGAATATTCAATGCGCGAGGACGTGTAATCTTCGGAAGGAGACATAACAATTTAAGATCCGACAGGCAAGCCGTTTGAGACGCGATGCGTGTGCGACAGTCGTTCCCCGCAGTGCGCGTATCTCGAATTCGTGCCAGCCGAACGAAAATGAACGTATCCGTTCACTCGATTTTACAACGCTGGCTCACGCGGACGCTCGATCGAAGCTCATTGTGCAACGAAATGTGC